ACAGTACCACTGCTAGATATTGTACAGAAATGACGTGGGTACAGTGAGAAAGCTTTGGTTTTAAACAAAAATGTATAAAAGAAAAATTAGTTCCCATGTTTTCAGTATAAATTGCTAGAGCATAATTACTAAGTGAATTTATTTCCTATCAAGTAGAAAATACAACACACAATACACACACACACACAATTAGGAAGCTGTTCGGCATGGAGAAGGAATGTTCTGTCAGAAGTTTTTCACAATGAGCAGATCCAGTGGTTTTCACAGGCAGGTGAGTTTATAGAACTGGGCTGTAGGGAAACAGGGAGAAATAGGGTCTCCTAGAGAGTTCTTAGTCACATTCATAAATGAATATAAGAATGGACCCAAACAGAAGCTTTTACAATTTTATTAGAATCTTAAAGGAAAATCCTCAGGGCAGGTGGGCTGTTAATCTTGACAACTGCCTTGAGGAGGTGAATAGTGGGAAGAAGGAAAGAAAGTCATGGAGCCATGCAGGGTTAGAGCTTGCACAGAGATCAGAAACGTGGCTGACTCCCAGCCACATGGCTGGGAGAATGAAGCTTTAGAGAAAAAGTGAAGAACTACAAGATGCTGGGGGCAGCCCAAAGCCTTAGAGAAACTGTGCTTGGTAAGAAAGGCATGAAGAAGAAAAGGAGAAATTACACTTTCCTGAAGAGTTCAGGAAAGCAGACAGACTTACAGAGGCCTACAATGGCTGTGGCTGGTCTGGAAGTTGTGCTGGGATCTGAGCTAGTTCCTGGCAGAGATATTGCTTACCTTATTAACACACTAAGTATTCCGCCCATCTATTTAGCATGACTTAAGGTGAACCCGCCTTCCTAGGAGTGGCTCTAACACCAGGTAATTGACCAGTGAGACTGGAAAAGTGGGTCCTCCAACAGATAGACATTTTTTTAGTCTGAACTAGTTCAACTTATGGGGCTTGCTGATACTCTAACACTAGCACACTGCTTGTCCATAGAGGTTTACACTTTGCAGATGAGCGAATGACCCTGGAGATGGGCTTGGAGAGTCCAAGAGAAGGTGGCTGTGTCCTAGAAATCTCTTCTTTTGGGCTTTGGCTTTCTCTTCTCTGCCTTCCTACTGTACCTAACAGACTTGGCCCTAACCTTTAATCTGAGACCATTTTGAGGAGCTGAACAGAGGGAACTCTATGGTGGTAGAACACTAAGTGTTCATAACCCACACTTTGTGTAGTTTTATCTTCTTTATATAGAGAGGCCTCTACAGGGAAGCCTTTTACCCCTGCCTCTTGCCCAGTGTTACTAGCTAGAAATTTTGTGTGTAACTTGGGAGCATTTGGGGCTTCCTTCTGAGTCAAGAATGTGGTGGACCTGAGACAGGTGCTTCTTTCTCAATCCCAGATGTACACTGTAGAGTTTCTGCTTCCTTTCCTTAAGACAGCAGTAATAGGAAGTAATACCCCTTTGGGCATTGAGATTTTAAACAAATCTTAGAAGAACATTGTTGTGCAAAGTAGAATCCATTATACTCTTAGCAAACTCTGCCTTAGTAGTTTTGCACTATAAAATTGGCTTTTGACTGTGGCTTCAGGTAAATCAAATTGGGTGATATGCCATCACAGTCACTTACTCAGTTTGCTTTGCTTTACTGTGGCTGTCCACCCATTTCAGAAAACACAGAGAATCTCAAATATGGGCAAACACCATGAACTTGATAAGAATCAGCTCTGTTCACAGCTCAAGTGGACATATTATTATTATTAATTCCTGATTAGGTGATATGTTCACTTTTCCCCTTTACCACCTAAACTCAGAATGTGGTGGAGAGACTGTGCAATTCAGTTGCATAGCTACTTCTAGGAGGGAGGAGGGAGATGAGGGCTTAAGTTGCATATGGCTAGCTCAGTTAATATCGAATGCTGCCTATGATTCTGATGTTGCAAAGGATTTTCTTTGGATTCTAATCAATGGAGTGCTGCAGAGTGAGGACAGCAAATGGCCAGGTTTTTCCTCTCTTTAAAAGGAAGCACACCCTACTGAAGGGCAAACTTTCTATGCTGATTCTCAAGTTTAAATGTTACCTGCATTGCCACATTGTGTACCTCACCTTTGGAGGCAGACATTAGCTTTTCCCATTGATGATCAAGATGCTGTGTGGAAGGAATCTTTTGTTACACATCCAGAATGCAGCCAGTATTCTATCTCTGCTGGAGGCTTGATGGGAAGACCCCCTTTAATGTGGTGTATGCATCATTTAAATGGCTGTGAGCTCCTGGGACTGGAACCTGGTGCCCTGTCTGTGCCGAGGGCAGCTGGTGAGTGTGTGCTACATCCTTTCTTAGGAAAATTGATAGATATTTTCCATCTGAATAAAACTGTAGAAAACTTTGAGCAATACAAGTATACAAGACGGAATGCTTCTAAAAAGTCACTTTCTCAACAGTTTACTAATGAGTAAGGTAGCCATAAGAGAGACGTTTAATCTGCCTAGTTTCCTTGACAGGATTATTGTCTGTTAACTGGTTCATGTGGGAGCAATGCATTCCTTAACTGAGGAAAGGATAAATGAAAATACCATACTAGGAAAGACTTGTGATCAGTTTTATTTAAAAATATTTATACTAGTTGAGATTTTTGTGATTTTAATGGACCCCACAGTGGGGGCTTCCTGAATGTTTCCTTTTCCATCTTGAGATGGGTTAAGAGTCCTGAACCTCAGCACTGTGGCTGTTGAATTCAGTACTAAGGAAAGTTGTCTAGAACATGTCATTTGCTTTCCAACCTCATCTGCAAATACGTAGTGTCTTTGCTTCGCTGTGTCACGTCCAAAGACACTATGAGAACACACAAATAAAGTAGTATCACTATCCTTTCTAAAGATGTGTTTGGTACAGTGCTTTGTGCAATGTTTATATCGGTCACCCTAATATCTAACTAATATCTGATCATTATCTTTCCTGATGAGACAAAGTATAAAAGAAGAAAGAGTTCTAGAAACAAGACTCTGTTAACCGTATCTGAGATTTTTTTTTTTTTGGGGGGGGGGGCAAATTGAAGTTTAAAAATGTGAAAATTTCCTGGTATTAAACAACATAGTTTAAATAGCTATTAATATCCCAAGTGGGTCTGTAATGAGTTTGTGAAGAGCCAGTGAAGTAAATAGTTTTTGACAAAGGAGTTGCTCACTTTCTTTTGTAGCTGTGCATGTGATTTTCTTTTTCCCCTTTCTATTGAGAAGTCGGTAAGGGGAGGATATTGTGAAAGGTATAAACAGATCCTACAGAGGCTGCAGGTAATCATAGAAGAATCCTCAATCACCCTCAGTTAACAGGAGAGGAGACAGTCACGTTCCATTGGAATTTGGGATATTAAGCTAAAAGAATATCCACAAATTAGGTGCAACTTGCTTGCTGTAAACATTTTCCTATATAAGGATTTAGAAGTAAAGGGAATGTCGGCTGGATTAAGAGCAGCATGTGCACTGTTCTTGCGTCCTCCCAGAACCACGGTTGAGTAATGTGATTCCACAACAGAGTAGAGGACATGTGTGAAATGTGTTCTAACCAGGGGGCAGCCATTGGCCATGGTGGCCAAGGAGATAGAGGGATTTCTTCTAAATTCACACTAACTTACCAGGAAGTGTGAATGAAAGAAAATTCCCACGACTTTCCAGGGGAGGGGCTTGGGAGGGCTGAGGTCACTATAAAGGGGTTTAAGGCTTGTTTCGTTTGGGGAGCTGAATTCTCAGCTACTGGTGCAGGAGGGATATGCTTCTTTCACAGGAGAGAACACTGCTCCCCACTGATTTTCCCTCCTGCTGAGCGTTACATCCCTAATACCAAATGGCCTCATTTGGTAATTCAACTTTGAATTAGATGGAGTGCTAAGTTCTCTGTACTACCATGAAATGCGTTTATTCATCATGGCCTTCGACTCAGTATTAGGTGAAATAAAAAATTGTAAATTATGTTATATAAGCTAAAGCTTGTAGAGCCTTAGTACAGAAAACTAGTATTTTCTCTGGGAAAAAAAGACTTAGTCTTTAATTTAAAAAATGATATATTTCTGTAGATAAATGAAGAACAGTCTCAGTCCTCTAATACATGAATGCTTTCTTTATTTACCTACAGAAATTAAAAAAAATTTTACATTAAAGGTTTTGGGGGGTCTTTTTGAGACAGGGTCTCCCTGTAGGTCCACTGGCCTGGAACTTGCTGTGTAGACCAGGCTGGCCTTGAGCTCACAGCCTCTGCCTCTGCCTCCCGAGTGCTGGGATTAAAGGCATGGCACACCCACCTCCTTAAATTAGTTTTAAATTATCACAGTGAATGGGTTTCATTGTAAACATAATTTTCTAAGTGAATGCTTTTAGTATTTTTCCTATCAATAAGATATATTTAAGCCGGGTGTGGTGGCACTCACCTGTAGTCTCAGCACTTGGGAGGCAGAGGCAGGCGGATCTCTGTGAGTTCAGGGCCAGCCTGGTCTACATAGTGAGTTCCAGGACAGCTGTGGCTACAGGGAGACCCTGTCTCAAAAAGACTATATATATATGTATATATATATGTAAAATCGGATTATATTATTTTGATCTCAATGTTGTGAGGAAGTTGTCATTTGTAATCCCCTCTGAATAACAGTGTTGAGATTTTCTCCTGTTAAGAATGAGTATCCAGGGAGTGAGAACTGTTCTCGGCACTTGATAAAATTTATGAAAAAATTGACAGTATGTGTGATTCCATCTTGAGTTTGCAGGTCATATACTCTGTCTTCTTTAATTCTATTTCCCTACTGCGCATGTAACAGGAGCATCCAGAAATTCTAATTTTATTTTATTTTATTTCTTACATTGCTTTTGTGGTTAACTTGTATTTTAAAAGCCCCCTCGCTATTTCCCAGGCACCGCTCGAGACAGTCCATGGATGCCCCTCTTTCAGCGAGGGAGGTTTGCGAAGGTGCTTGCTTTCCTCCGGGTCTTCCTCTATCTCTGCTTTCCCAGGTTAACTTCGCGGAGCCCAGCTTTAATGATGGTCACTTACACACGTTTGGGTCTGATTCCTTGCCTAATGCAGCTCCTTAACGCAGCTTCATGTTGGGTCTGTAAACCGCACCGGAAGCCCCTACTACTACCACCCCTCCCAGACCAGTGCCCCCTCCACCGCCCTGCAGGAAGCCACTGACCCCAGCCCGGCTCTTCTCCCAGAGCGAGACGCAGCCTTGATTCTTTTCTTGAAATGTACCTTGGAGAAGCGAAGGGCTGAGAGATTTGAGACGCAGGACTCCTTGTCGTGCTGCAGCGGAGTGGCCCATAGCAACCACAGCGAGTTCTTAGCGAGACTGCACCATTTTCTCCTCGCCCTGCATAGAGGTGTGGTTGCAAGCGGCAGCGAACTCCCCACCCCCTAGGACTTGCACCGAGGTGGGCTCTTCCTGGCTCCGGTCAGAGACACGAACTGTCTGGAGGAGTCCCCCAAGACCGTTCCAATTGGTGATGTGCACCCAAGGCAGGCTTTTGCAACTAGTAGGATGCTTGTCTGCACCTGAGGCCACCGAACTGCTTGAGGAGTTCCGTCTGTCCCTGGGACCATTTCTGAGTGACCGCACACACATATGCATGTGTGTAGGTGTGTGCTGCTGAGGGCCTCGGCTTGCAGCCTGGGCACATTGGAGTGAATTATGGGTGCTACAGAGGCTGGAGCAAGATTATGACCTAGCTCGCGGAGCGGGGGCGGCGGGGTGGATGATTATGTGAGTGTTCTGGCTGCCAGCCATTGCTCTGCTGGGGAAAATCACATCTCCATACAGCTCTAAAATCACCTGTATTACTGGGGAGTGGAAAGAGATCGTCAGCTGATTTCTTCTGCAAAATGGCTCACGCTGCCGCTTCTATTAAAAAAGTTCGAGAGGCTGAACTGGATGAAAAGGAAAAAAATCTGGAGAGAGAGAGAAAAAAACAACGGAAAATCCCCAGGGATCGGATGGAGCGGAAAAGAAAGGTAGGGAGAGCATCACGTTCCCCCTTCAAAGGTCTGTGTAGAACAGTCAGCCTCAGCACCTGCAACTCCTTTCTCCCCGCAACGTTCCCTGCACCATTTCCAAGCTCAGTTTGCAGCCTGGAGCTCATGCCTAAATTTGCTGCATAGGGAGGAGATGCCTGACCGTGGCGAATCTCCTTTGCTTTGATGGAGTAAAGCAGAACATGCCCTCACTTCATTCTCTCTTTTCTACCTCAGTTAGATTTATTCAGTTTCAAAGCCGGGCTGTATATTCCAATTTACTCTGAGCGCTTGTCATACAAGAAGGAAGGGGCTGCTGTATGGTTGGAAGGTTGAATATTTTCATGTCCTTGTTGCTAATCTCTGCTACTAGATTATTAGTACTGCACCTCTTCACTGACTGTGCATTTGATGTAGATCTCTGGTTGTTAGTAAACCACAGCATCTGTATACCCTCTTTTCCCTCATAAAGATTGACACTGTTCTGTGGGAAAATACAGAAAAAAAAATGTTGGTGCAGTGAACTGTGCCTCTGCATTTTTAGAATTGTCTTATTTTACTTCCTCTCATTGGTTCTGCAACTTACTCTTTGAACACAGCAATTGAATGCAAATATCTAGTTAAACAAATTAGTGAAACATTGATTTTCCCTTCACATTAAATTATAGAATGGCTCTCTTCTCACAAATACATTTTCCCTTCAAAATATAATCTTACAAGTTGACAGCCATGAAAATACTCATTTACCCAATGGTTTGGATCTGTAAAGGAAGTTGCTCTCTGTAAACACTTTAACAAGCTGTTTGTTAAATAATTTCAGAACATGATGAGAGCGTACAGATAGAGCTCTGTGTATAAGCAGGTATTAAATACAGCTCTGGGATTAGGGGTGCACTGGGGACCCACATGTTTAGTGACCCATATGCTCATCGACCCTCTCCTTTTTTTTTTTTTTTTCCCATAATAGCCATGTTCACCTTTGCATTTGAGAGACACTATCTTTGCCTTGTTTGTTTGGAAAGATACTCCAGGATCCACATTGATTTGAACTCTTAATTCACAGGGATTCATCCTATTTCTGTTTTACTTACTTTCCCACTAGTCATGTCAAATGATTGCTATCTGGCAACAGTACAATTAGCAGTATATAATAATGGTTTCCCTTCTAGGGAAAATGTAATACTGTTTGACCTTTCAAATGCCTTGTTTCAAGGGTACTTTTGTTCTTTTATGATATCAAAATCTTATTGACCACATTTGTTGGGACTGGCTTCTTTCTCTATGACTCTTTTAGCACTGTCTCTCATCCTCCAAATGGAACATTACTGCCTCAACCATTTTCTTATATCTTTTAAATTCATGTGTTCCCCCAACCACAGTATATTATTTGTTGGCTAGGAGTACTTGTACAGCATCCAGTTGTGACCTAGCAACTTTGCATTCCATATACCTGGAAAACTTCTTGGCTTTGCTCCGGTTAGTTCCTGAATCGAGTCCAATTATTCTTTTCCTAAACATTTTTAAGCATGAAGAATTAGATTGTTAAAATGGAAAGTGCCAACAGTTGTTGAAAAATCTCAGTTGCTTAGATGTTGTCTTGCTTTAGCTTGAATCCAGCACCGTCAGCAAGATCAGGTTAGTAATGTGGTCATGTGACAAGATCATCTGGTCTTCACATTTAGTATCACTAATCTAGAACCAGAGTAAGCTGGGGGAATGGAAGCTAATCCGTTACTTATTCTTGCTCCTCTTCTTTTTTCATAAGAACCTATTTCTTTTCTTCTGTTTCTACAGCAGATATACGTAGTATTACACAGCACAATAAATGATTACCAAATTATTGGGTGTCCTTTTGAGCTATATTAAATCTATTTTCTCTATAGACAATTTCCCTTCTCCCACATGCACATACTTGACCCAGTTTTAAAATATGATTTGAAAGGAGAAAACTGTAGTTCTTCACTGTTCCTTAAGGTGTAGAGAGTGATAGTTCATGGAGAAGTGAAAATGGATGTTAGTGGACTCTGGGATACCATCTCTAGAAAGTCATTTTAAAATTATAGTGGTTTCTGCTCAAGCCATTTCATATCTGTAAAGGAAAACATCAGTGCTAGGGATAATTGACTATATTGAGTATCATACTCATATCTATGTGAAGCTTCTTGCCCATAAACCTGTTTATTCAAAGAATTCAGAAGAGACTTATCCCCAATGCAGATAAAAGTCAATTATAGAGTTTGGAAAAAAAATGCTTATTTTGAAAGGAATTTTTACCAAGGTACAGCTATTTATTAGTGAAATAATTCCATGAAGCAACCTCATGTTCGTGCTTCATTTTAATATGCCTTTGTAAACTTGCTATGTAAAGATGCATAATATTGTTTTTAATTAAAGAATCATTTCCTTATTTTGTATTACAGAGAGTTTTAAAATGAATTTTAACCATTTTAAAACTTGAATCATTATCTTCTTGACTGTATCCTTATACCAACTTGTTCTTAATGTGTTTTTTAGAACTGTTTGTGTATTAAGGAACTTATTTCAGCCTCATTGGAAGAAAATGCTTTAATCAAATGAACTCAAGTTCAAGATTAGATGAAACAAATTAGTTTGAACTTGTTTGCTCAGAAGAGTACACTGACATACTTATTTATGGGATAACAGATTATTTCTGCTCTAATTATTACCTTAATACTAAGCAATTTTTATATGTACAATATCTAGTTCCTATACTAGAAATCTAGAATTTTATACTCAAGATGCCAGAAGGAATGACGGTGAATTACCAGAATGCTTAAACTTAGTCCTAGAAAGTGATTCCAAGTGTAACACTTTTGTTTTTCTTTACAGCCACATAACTATTTTCCAGCTGTACTTTAAAAAATATTTTGTTTTTATTTTTTATGGGTATGAGTGTACTGCTTGCATGTGTATAAGTGCATCTGTGTTGTGTAATGCCCTCGGAGATCAGAAGAAGGCATCAGATTCCCTTGGAACTAGAGTTACAGATGGTTGTTAGTTAGCGGCCATGTGAATACTGGGATTCGAACCCGGGTCCTGTACAAGAGCAGCCAGTGCTCTTAACTGCTGAGCCATCTCTCCAGTCTCATCCAGCTATACTTTTTTTTAATTTGAAAAAATAATTTATAAGGAATGAGTAAAAAGAACAACACAATTGTATTCTTAAAAGTAGGGTATATATTTAAATAATCTTATTTAAACTTATAATCAGGGCTGGGGCTGGAGAGATAGCTCAGAGATTAAGAGCACTGGCTTTTCTGATCTCTGTGGGCATTGCAAGACATGGTGCACATACATGCAATGAAGTAAAAATAATAAAAATAAAATATTAAAATAATAAACTTATAATCAGGGCTGGAGAGATGGCTCAGCAGTTAAGAGCACTGTCTACTTTTGCTAAAGACCTGGATTCAGTTCCCAACAGCCACATGGTAGCTCACAACCACCTGTAACTTCAGTGCCAGGGCATTTGATGCCTTTTTCTGCTTTGCAAGCTCCTGCACTCATGTGATACGCATAAACTCATGCAAGCACATACACATACAAATAAAAAATAAATTAATTAAAAAATTACAATGACCATGAATTTTCAAAGAAATTTTTGTGTTGCTCATTCTCAGCTTGGACAAACCAGTCCCTAACCTATCATGTCTACAAAACTCACTGACTCATAATATGGAGCATTTTCATACACGTATAGCACATACTTTGATCATATTCATCCGTCTCCATTGCATTCTGGCTCCAGCTGGTCCGTTTCTTCTTGCCATGTCTATTTTTTTTTTTAAATCTAGTCTTCATATAGGAAAGAAAACATGATATTTGTCTTTCTCCATCTAGTTTATTTGATTTATATGATAATCTCTAGTTCCACCCATTTTCTTGGCATAACTTATTCTTTATGACTGAATGGAATCCATTGTGGGGGTTGGCTCAGTGAGTAAGAGATGCTTGTTCAAGCCTGAGGACCTTTCTTTCTCATCTCAGCACTTGTGTAAAAAGCTGAATGTGACCATTGTTCACTTGTAATCCCAACACTTATGGGAAGCAGAGACAGGATGATAGCTGAGGCTTGCTGAATGTCAGCTTAGCTCCAAGTCTCAAGGAAATAAGGTGGAGAGTGGTGGAGCAGAGCACATGACATCCTCCTCTGGCCTTTGTGCACATACATAGGCTTATGCAATACCATGTTCCATGCACATATGCCATACACTTACATACACATACACACTCATACACACAAACAAAAGAAAAAAAATCTCAATTTTGTATGTATACCACATTTTCTTTATCTGTTTATTTGTTGATGGGCAGCTTAATTAATTTATATTATTAATATTGAGAAAGCTCGTATTTCTTTAAAATATGATTTATTAAGTACCAATGGAACTTATCTGAAACATCTATCCATACTGTGCCATTTAACCTCAATGACAGTTCTCGACATTGAACTTTCACTTGCTTTCACAGACAAGGTAACTATGACTCAGAAGACTGTGCAACTTCCTTAGCTACATACAGCTATTAGGTGGTGGAGTTGGAATTTGAGCTCAGACGTGTCTTGGCCCAAATTTCACTGGGGAAAAAGAATAGTGTGATTGTACCAGCAATGAAGCTTAGACACTATTTAATCTATTGATGCTTCAGTTTCCTCACCTCCAAAATGACAGTCTACAGCTAAAAGAAATTTAAGCACTGTGAAGACAAATTAATGTAGCTGAGGAAAAACTGTGTAAATTTAAGGTTTTGTTTTTATTGTAATTGCACCAAAATATTTCATGAGATTTCTTGAAGATTTAACTTTTTGAAATCAAAATTTGCTCCTTAAATTGTAGCCAGTGGCTGCCCGTGATAAACCCTTGCCATCATTCTTTGTTATGCTTCTCTCACGCTTTTAAAAATGCACTTGTAGGGGCTGGAGAGATGGCTCAGCAGTTAAGAACACTGGTTATTCTTGCAAAAGACCCGGGTTCGAATCC